TTCTATATCAATGTCGAAAGAAAACCAAACTATAATTGTTACTGGAGCGATCAAAAGGCACTTATCTTTTTTTTTGGATGATTTGAGAACTCTCGTAATTATTCGCTCTTTGGACTTGTAACTACCAAGTAAATTCCAAGCTACTCACCCTTACCCCACAGTACAAATAGCATTTTAAGTCAAGTACTTGCAGAGTTAAAAGAGAATCGAACCCACACCCAAGTGCTAAATATGATTATGTGGCACAAAGACACTTATCTTTCTTTCTGAATAATGGATATAAGTCTAATTAATTAAAATACTGCATTAATTTATGATGCTATAATATAAAACTGTATAACTTAGTGGACCACCTAGTTAGTTAATTCGTATATGATACGCGAATTAAACGTGTACGTACGAATTTTGAGAAAATACTTTCGTTTGTCAATGAAAGTTGAAAGATACGGTAAAAAACGCGTTTTTTTTCATCACCCCGTATCTAACGCGTTTAGTCATTTATTCGTTTTGGTTGCTTCGTTTAATTCGTAAACTAATTATTATTTTTTTTCGTTTACGAACTTCACGTTTCTAATAGCGTATTTTTCTTAAACACAAACTATTATCTTTTCTACCATCTTTTGCTTAGTATAGCCATTATTTTTGGAACCATTAAAATAATGTTATTTGTTGTGTAAACTATTTTCTTTTCTACCATCTTTTGCTTGATATAGCCATTATCTTTCAAGCCATCAAAATAATGTTATTTGTTGTGCAATCTCTTATTGTTGTCACTTCAATTATGATCTTTAATCAAAGTAATGAAATATATATATATTTGTGGAACACTATAATCTTGAAGAATCATAAGTTTTTATTGATGTTTGTAGATATTTATAAATTTTTTGTTTTGTTGTGAGATTTTTTAAATTTTGTTAATATCTTTATTATTATTATTATTTTAGAAGCTTGTAAATCACCACACTCCCTAGTTGTTTTAGTAGAATATCACATTATATACTTATGAATTTTTTTTATGATTATTGTGATAGTGTCAATTGTAATACATTTATTTCATTATTTGTTACATATTTTTTATTGTCCTCACAAATATATATATATAAAAGAAAATAATAAGATGTGTATAGCCGAATTTTTTATCCCGAATTTTTAGAATATATAACGTATTATATACGTACGTATCCGTATTCGTATTTTTATGTTTTTCGAATTTTTTTGCCGAATTTTTTAAACGTATTTTAAAAATATATCGAATTATACTCGTACGTTTTCGTATCCGTATTTTTTTCGTACCGTATTTTACTAACTATGGTGGACCAATCATAGAACTCTAGCAGTCCAATCATCCAATTATAAATATACAATTTTAAAAAAGCTTAAACAAACTCACACCCTCACAATGTTGCTTCTAACATAACTCCAATACTCAACTTCATCAAACTATTTTAATTAATGTTCATTGTTATCAGCCTAGAGTGTTTATCCGCATAGGTATATATTATATGTACGTGTGCGTTCGTGTCAATAGGACTGTATGTTAGCGAATATATTCGTTAACATACTTGTTAATAAACTTATCTAGGCTCATGTTTAGAAAAATAAATGAAATAAAACTATTTTAATAAATTTATAGCCATACCATTTTTCATTATTTTTTTCTATATTTATTAAAAATTTGTTAATATTAAATTTTTTCCTTTTACAAAAAAATAAGACAAATTTAATATTAACAAATTTTTAAAAAATATATTAATATTTCCTTCCAATTTCCTCTATTTTTCAGAGGATGCGAAAAATTATTACTAAGGTCATCTATAGTGGCATTGCCAAAGGCCTTTTTTGGCCATAAGGGTAGAGGTATTTTTATTTATTTATTTATTTTTATCAGTGGTAAACACAAGCCAAACAGCACATACAAAGCAGCCCAAAACAAACCAAGCATAACTACCCAACAAAACAGCAAACCAACAAAACACATCAAAAGATCAGTTGGCAAAGGAACAAGGAGGCAGCACCGGGTCATCCAAAAGCACCAACTGAGTGTCAAACGAAGCCGAATGAGCTGACACTGACAGGTCAGCATGGCCACTTACACCGCCTTCAGGCGCCATACCGCTGGTGAAAAACAAATCCAGACACAGACCTGCCGGAACATGCCCCACCGAAAGTCTGGCCTTCTTACCCACCACCGTTGCAGACCCCGATAGAGAACCAGCCAATGATGGATGGCGCTTACGCGGAGGCCTCACCAAAGAAGAACCTTGTTCATTAGTTGGCAACACATGGCCATTATTAGAAGCAGCCCGAGGTGAACCTTTTCTACCACGCCGTGGAAGCGGCAAGACACGATCTTGCTCCTGGGAGACCGAGGGTACACACTGTACAGACTCATCCACCTGCACTGAAGCAACAAAACTTTGCGTCGGAGACCCGTGCACCTCCTGAATACCCTGCAAACCCGAACCATGCTCAGTCACGTTCAGGACAACACCAGCACGAGATCCCCCAACCGGAGCCAAAAAACAGTCCTCAAGCCGAGCACCACCCGGCACGCACGAGACCTTAGTAGAAATCACACCCGCCACACCATGAAAGGTAGCCACAGTATCCGAAACAGACAAAATACCGGGAACGGAACCTCCATCGCCCTGGCCAGCACAACCAGCATCAACGCCTTCCACATACATCCAACGTCTCCCAACCCCATCTCTCACAGAACCTCCCCGAGCCCCATCCAAATTCCAGAGATCCTTGCCAAGATACCCAGCCACCCCCAACCACGACCCATACTCCAACTTCCCCGACTGAGAGGATGAGTTGCCACGAGAACAAGATTTCCAAATGTGGCCAATGACCCCACAGGCGAAACAGAAAGACGGGAGTTTTTCATAGCAAATTTGAACCCATACATCTGTATCAAACGGTCCTTGTAACCGCACCTGCCGACGAAGCGGTTTAGTAATATCCAAAACCACCTTAAGATGAAGAACCCTATTATCCTTTAACAAAGTTTCTGTAGATTCCAGCATACCCTTATCCCGAAGCTCGACTACCAAACACCGACCAAGAGAATTCCCAATTCGTCGCCTAACATTTGTCGACAGATAAGGGGCAGGAACATCAAGAAGATGAATCCAAAAAGGGGAGAAATTAAAAGACTCCACAGAAGATAGTAAACATTCCTCCCACTCCTTCAAAACTAGCAAATGCCTATCAAACAGCTACGGACTACCCTGAAGAATGCGATGGCGGCTAGTTCGATCCGGAACAAAAATCTGAAACAGATTTCGCGCCACTTTATAAATAAGGAGACGGGCAGAAGAAGGCTCAACAAAAGTCTCCTTGACCCACAACTGGTGAAACAAGCGGTCAAAAGTATACTTTGCCCCAGCCAAAGTAATAGTGTTGGAAGCCCAAACTTTACCAAACAGACTATCCCGGCATACAGACACTCCCTGGTCAGTGTCATCAGGCAAGATAAACACAGGGTCAGCCTCCTCCCTCGTAAGCGTAAGTTCACGCATTTGCTCAACCAAAGGGACCTCCAAAGCCCCACCTAAAGCAACGAGAAAAATTAAACACACGACACCACTCACTGCAAACGTAGGAGAGAAAACAGAAATTAAACACACGACACCACTCACTGCAAGCGTATGAGAGAAAACAAAACCCCAAAGACGATGGAAGAAGCAACGGATGAAAATATATATATAAAACCCAAAAAGACAACCGGGTCACGTAGAACAGACGAGAACCTAAACTAACACAGACCTCATCAGACCACAAATCATCTAACGCCAAACCCAAAACAATACAGCGAGGCTCGCAGAGAAAACGTGTAAATAGAGCGCAGAAAGCCACACCACAAAGTGGACACAAATTACATAGCTACCCACGTGGATCCACAGAAACACTTATAACAAAAAGAGGTGGAGGATAATGGGACAACAGCAACCATACAACAAAAAGACTCAACAGGGCCCACCACACTCCCACCAGCCACGTACCCCAGTACACACGCAACCATATCCCCAACCACCCACGTGGCCATCGGCTCCAAGGAAGTAGCAGGCGTGACGTCAGCCATCGGAAATCCACCCAAGACCACGGCCATCTGATCGGAGACGAGAAAAAGCGCCATCAATGGAACACGACCACCCGCCGACGGGAAAGAACTCAGCGCAACAGGTCTACGAAGGAGATCAGAAAAACCCTAAACACACGCCCCCACCCCCAAAAAAGAACACCGACAGAATACATAGGATGAAACGAACGACAGCCAAGTGAAACCCAGAAAAAGGAAGACACCCACCAAGAGCGGAACATTGCGGAAAACGAACAAAAAGAATCAAACGAACAAAAGGAAGGAGAAAAACCCACTCTCACGGATGGAGAGAACTCTCACAGATGGAGAGAACAAGGCTTAGAACTCTCACGGACGGAGAGAACTGTCACTAACGGAGAGAACAGGGGAAAGTTTGGTTATGCGGTAGCATTGTGGTATGGTGGGGTCCATTCTTGCGATCGTTAAAGGCCTCGTGGTGGCATTCCGCAATGGCGAGCAATGAAAGCCTTTTCTTCTATATTTTATTTTATTTTCTTTTTATTTTAAACCATGTACAATTGTTTGTTTCAAAGTTTGTGTGCAACACATTTGTGGGGTTCATTCTTCATGTTTTTTTTGGTTCGTTCTTCTTTTTTCTTTTTTTATCTAAAAAATAATTTTGTTTTATTTTTTTTTTCTCTTGATTTTAATCCGTCAATATAATTGTTAAGGTACTGTTTAATTGACATAAAATACAGTAATTGATAAACAAGAAAAAAAAAAAAAAATACTAAATACTAGCCCTGATAGCCACTGATAAATAAAAATATTGTTATTTTTAAAGTACAGAAATTTAAAGAGCCTGTTGCAACGTTAAAATTTAGAGAAAGAGAAACTATATATGTAACTATTGAAAAAATTGACCTGAGTCATAGAAAACAGCTACTAGTAATTTAAAGAGTAAAATTTTAAAGAAAATGTTGTGAATGGCCTAATTTGTTTGTGTCCCTCAAATTTATTTATTATTTTTTTTCAACATTTCAAACCAAACACAAATTTCCATCTCCATCTATTACCTTCCTTTCTTTCTTTCTTTCTTTTCCTTCCATTTCCAAGCCGGCCCTAATCCCCATTGAAATTAGAGCCCTAGCCGTTAAGAGTCAGTAAATGAACTTTCACCTTCTTAATATGAACATCGGAACTGCTTGAGTTTTGACAGATTTCTTCCGAAACGATTATGTATATATATGCTTGTATATATACTGTGTAAGCGAGTGAAATTCTCCACATGCGAATGAAGAAGAACATCAGTTGTTTGTGAAAATGCCCCACCGAAATTCCATAGACAGCAAACAGTCTATCAACACCACACTCCGAAGATCTCCGAGACTTCTTCAAACCAATCGCCTTGAACCAGAACCTCCGAAGACCCCAAAACCCAAATCGAGTACTCATCGGATCACTCATTCTGAACCTCCCTCAATCACCTCAACACAGAAAGTTCAGAAGAAAACCCTCAAGCGTTACCCAGAAGAAAATTCAGATGCTGGGTCAAAAAGTTCCACTAAGATAAATACTGGGTCGACAAGATCTGCTAGATTGAATGGTGGGGTTGAAGGGTTTAGTTGTCTCCGACGACGGTCTCCGAGGTTTTCTGATCACAATAAGTTCAAACAAGAGGGTTTATCAGACGTGGGTGAAGTCAAAATGGCCATTGATTTGCATAAACACTATTTGGGTGAACCGCAAAAGAGGGTAACTCATGCCAATGGACTTGTTGAGAAGACTGGCAATGATGAGAGTGATGGGTTTATGTCACCTGATAAAGGGGATTTATCAGATGCAGAAAGAGCAAATGTTGGTGCTAGTTCATGTGAACAATCTGCAGGTCGATTGAGAAAGAAGAGGACTTTTAGGTCTTCGGCTTCTTCCAAGGTTATAGTGGGAGGAAGCGAAAGGAATGTGAGAGATATTGATAAAGGAAGGAAAGAGATTGGGGTTAAGAGGAAGAGAAATCGAGCTGAGGAAGGTAATGGGAATTTCCAGGGGTGGACTAAGGATCAAGAAATCGCATTGCAGAGAGCTTATTTTGCTGCAAAACCGACGCCTCATTTCTGGAAGAAGGTTGCTAAGCTGGTAATGAGTTGCCTTTCAAATCTTTTGGTTTCAATGATTTTGTGTTGTTGATCTAAATATGTCTCGCAAATTACTAGTATAATTCAAACAAAATATAGAGTTGGAGAATATGATAAGACATCATGTATAAGAACAATTATGACTTGTTGGCATAACGAAATATTTGACTTGTTGCAACTTCTTCTTCTTATTTATTTATTTATTTATTTTTTTTCAGTCTTGTGGTTCTTAGTATAGATTAGAATAATGTAAAAAAGATTTGGAAATGATGAATTTATGCAAATATGCAATGAGCAAAAACAATGGCTACATACAAGGGCTGCAATTATCTTTTGTTGCAAAATGTTAACATTGTTTTAAATATCTATGGAGATTAGGATTAGACCAAACCCGAATGGCATGCTTGATTTGTATATATGCCCGGGCACAAGACACTTATTTTAGTGTTTTTTTTTTTTCCTTCCAATTTTAGAAATTAGATTACTCATTTATTTTTATATTTGGTATATCTTTTTGGCAGTATCTGTTTTTTTTTTTTTTAATTATTTAGTAATTAAGGTTTGCCTGTAATAGGACCCTATTGCCGGTATTTTTCATGCCTTCATAACTGAATATTGATTATTATTATTCTCCTCCTTAAATTTCTGCTCTCTTTGTTTTTCTTCTTCTTTCTCATTGTTCTCCTCGTCTTGCAATGATGTTTATATAGTTAAACTTCTTCAATGATTAATGCCTTCAAAAGCAACAAAGATTCAATAAGATATTGAGCATAGAATTAGTTTGAATGATTCTTCAGTTCCATACTTCTCTTTTAGGTTATGGTTGGTTGGATTATTTTGGATGATTTCTTTTAATTTCCCAGATTCTTAGCTTTGAGAATGCATTTGTTTAAAAAATAATCAGTCTAAGACCTAATTATGATTTAAATAATTTAACACTTAGGCCATTATAAAAATAAAAAAATTCATTTATGTCATGATCATAGTCAGTTTGAAAAATATTAACCAAACATAATTTAAATTTCAACATCCCAGTTAATTACTCCTTTTCATGAGTTGAGTGCTACCCATAGTCGGACTTCAAAATCATAAATCCCACATAATTAGGATGCCTTCCCTCTATAGACGACTTGAAGAGGCTTTACATGAGATGGTTCTAGTAGCTCCTAATGCTGAAGTAGGAACAAACATATAGAAGATATGTGAAAAGTTATAAGGTCTGATGGGATTTTGTATGCTGATAAAATTATTAATGACAATTGAGCGGATATATGATCATGTCATCTGTAGTTCTATGCTTGAATGGCACATAACTTCTTTTCTACATTCTGTTTTTACTATTTTTCGAACAATGGACACATTCTTGAGGTGCCAAACATGTATTTGTCAAACATGATGATGGACACATTCTTAATATCTTGAGGTACCAAGAAGTGTATGTGAGGTGTCCGTGTATGACTTGGATACAACACCTCTGCAGAAGTGTCCATGTGTTTCAAATTGTTAGAGGATGTTATGCTAAAAATGTTATTTTGTCAATGTTTGACCAGGTGATTTGTATTGTTAAAGAATGTTATGCTAAAAATATAATTTGTCAATGTTTAATTTATTAAATTGTGGAAAATAAAGATGTGACATTATAATATCATGTAAAATTGTTAACATTGGCAGTTTGGTTAGAAGTAACATGGTATGAATTCTATGCTCTAGGGGTGTAAAATTAGAGTTCATTTCCATATTTTTAACATTGTTGATCATCTTTTGAGAAATGATATAAGTTGTGAGCTTATTATCTTTAGATTTTTGAAAGTGTCCAAAGTAAATAAATAAAGGAAAACTGGTCATCTACATAGTTCTAGTCCAACAGGATTTATTTCAAACTTATGTTACTTGTTAAAACTGTTGCAGGTGCCTGGAAAGTCTGCACAGGATTGTTTTGATAAAGTCCATTCTGACCACCTGACTCCACCTCAACCTCGAACCCGTTTGAGGGCAAGCATAGCAAACTCATCATCATTCTCACTTTCTGCAAGTAAATTTCTCAAATCTGCGGAGCCAAAGACTAAAAGGCGGAATTGCAGTAAACAGAAGAGTCATCTTGCTCAGAAAACTGTGAGGAGATTACTGCAAAAGCATTATCATGTTGACCAAGATTATGAAGCCGATCTATTCTCAGTTCTTGAGTCCCCCTTGAATATATCAAGTCAAGCTTCTCAACAGGGTGTAATACTTTCCACCCCTGAATGTGGACAAGACAAACGTGGATTTCTTAAAAAGTACCAGGGATCTTCTTCAGCACGAAAGAAGCACATTTCACGCCTCGGTGGCTTATTAGTGGCAACTCTTGTGAGTCCCCCGGTTCTGAAGCAGGTTAAAAACAAGGGCTTACATGAAAAATATATAGATCAGTTACATTGCAGGGAAGCTAAGAGAAAGGCAGCATCTGTACGGGCTGGAAAATCCATTCGAAGTAGAGAGGGTAGGAAGCAGAGCCTCAATCAGGATGCAATTGAGGCTGCAAAAAATGCCCTGGTTTCTGATGCAAGAGATGTTATTAATCACTTCCAACATTTGAAGGCCAGTGTCATGAACAAGTTATCTGAGTTTGATGATGATGATGGAGTTGATAGTGATGATGATGAAAATGAAGAATATCAATATACATTTAAGGTGTAGTTCATGCTAAGACCCCGTTTGGGATTGCTTCCTTACAGCTTAAAAACTCTTTTATTTTAAAAAATTGCGATTAGATGTGTTTGGTAATCATTAAAAGTGTTTTTGATAGTTACCAAATTTAAATGAAGCTAGAATTTGGATTTTAAAACTGCTTTCTAAGTTGAGATTGAATGTTTTAGTTAACTCTTTTTATTAGTCAATTATATCTTTTTTTTATTTTTTATAAAGATAATTACACTCATTCCTTAAAAAAAAAAAAATTATTATCAAATATGCTAACATCTTATTAAGGGATATTATTGTAAAATTAGCAATAGAAATGTATAAAAAATGTTGTTACAAAATAAATTAAAAAATAATGTAACTATGAAAAACATTTATTATAATGGGTCACCAAACACCTAATATGTTTTTTTATTGACCGTAAGTTTTTGACCCCTCTATTGTTAAAAACACTTTTTTTTTTTTAATTCCAACAGTAACCCCAAATCCCAAACCACTCTTTTTATTAGTCAATTATGTCTTTTTTATTTTTTATAAAGACAATTACACTCATTTCTTAAAAAAAAAAAAATATTATTATCAAATATGGTAACATCCTATTAAGGGATATTATTGTAAATGTATAAAAAAAAGTTGTTACAAAATAAATTAAAAAATAATGTAATTATAAAAAAAAAAAAAACAAATTAGTATAATGGGTCACCAAACACCTAATATGTTTTTTATTGACTATAAATTTTTGACCCCTCCATTGTTAAAATCGGTTTTTTTTTTTTTTTTTTTCAACAGGAATCCCAAACAAGCACTAAATAGAGTGGCATTTCTAAATGCTGACCCATTGTATGGAAACCTACTTCTGTAACAATAGTCCCGCTTTTGCTGGTTCCATTTCCATTCTCTTGCTATTTTGTTCTTTAGATTCTTGTGGCATTCTCTTACCATCATGATTGCATGCATGATCTTATCTTCTGCTTGAAAGAAAAAAACCAAGAAACTTTTTAGTACATGGGAGATTAACTGTGGACTTTTATTAGTACGTCTTTTATGAAGAAAGATTAAAAGAATTGAAAATTTCCAAGACATCTAGTTTATTTTGAGGAAAATTACCATCAATTTTAAGCAAACACAATGTTGGAATTTCTCTGCACAATCAACCGGATTTGATACCAGTTGTTGTGACTGAAATGCAAATAACAACGTTGTTCAAGCAATAAACAAGTAATCACGAAAAATAAAAAAAATAAAATCACACACAAGATATACATGGTTCACCCAAATCTTAGGGTTACGTCCATTGAGCACACCGAACAAATTCACTATGAAGAAGATGAAGAATTACAATGGAGTATTTTCTCTTAATCTCTCTCAATTGCTCTATTTTGTGTTGCCACAAATTAATCATACAACACGTATACTCTCTTTCTAATTTTCACACACCCCAAGATCTGATTAGAGTTGATATATATAGCCCTAAATAATTTGTCCTACAATAAATTACATTTTGTAGAATCCAAAACCAATAAGGAAGTTAAAACAAATCAGGAAACTGAATTTTCCCTAAAATTCAGTATTCTTGAAGTTTTCATATAATTAAATCTTTCTAAAAATCTTTCACTTAATCAGACTCCACAAAAGCACAACAATCTCCCACTTGGAGGCTGGAGCACTTGTAAACCCATTCCATCTTCTTCTCATGCATGTCCCATGCATGTCGAGGCACTTCTCTCTGTCTTCAAGCTAGAAGACCGACTGAAGTTGCGCACAACTTCAGTTTCTCCACGGTCACTGTCTTGGTTAACATGTCAGTCGGATTCTTGGTGCCAAGTATTTGCTCAAGTGTCAACACTCCATCTTCTAACAAATATCTGATGAAATGATACCGAAGTCCTATATGCTTGGTCTTTGAATGAAATGTTAAATTATTTGCCAAATGTATCGCACTCTGACTATCACTGTGTAAAACATTATTCACATGTTTGAATCCCAATTCTATCAACAAACCTTATAATCAAATCATTTCTTTGTTGGCCTCTGTCATCACCACATACTTTGCTTCTGTAGTAGATAATGCTACAACCCTCTGTATTTGCGAAACCCAACTAACTACAATTGTACCCACCGTGAATACATACTTAGTAGTACTTCTTTTGTGGTCCACCTCACCAGCAAAGCCTGAATTTACATAACCATGTAGCTTTACCTCGCCCCTTCTGAAACATAAGCATTTGTCTGTGATACCCCATAGATATCTCAATATCCACTTCACTGCTTCCTAGTATAGCTTGCCCGGATCCTTCATGAATCTGCTTTTTGTTCCCACTGTAGATGCAATGTCTGGTCCTGTGCACACCGTGGCATACATCAAACTTCTAATGATTGAGGCATATGAAATTTTAGCCATGAAGTTTTTCTCATCCTCTGTTTACGGACACTGATCTTAAGATAATCGAAAGTGATTAGCTAAGGGAGTACGTTTTAGCATTATTCATTTTTGAACCTCTTCAGAACCCCTTCATCGTACTCAGCCTGAGACAACTACAAAGTACCTTTCTGCTTGTCTCTACTAATCCTCATCCCAAGAATTTGCTTTGCAGCACCAAGATCTTTCATCTCGAATTCACTAGACAACTGCTTCTTCAATTTGCTGATTTCTTCAAAATCAAGACCTGCCACTAACATGCCATCAACATAAAGTAGAAAGATAATAAAACTTGACTTGAATCTCTAGAAGTAGCAACAATGGTCAGCATTGCACTTGTTGTAGCCATTTCGCTTCGTAAAACCATCAAACTTCTTATACCACTGCCTCGGGGCTTACTTTAAACTATACAAGCTTTTCTTTAACTTGCACACTAGTTTTTCTTTCCCTTTGACTGAGAAACCCTCCGGTTGTTGCATATAAATCTCCTCCTCTAGATCACCATGGAGGAAAAGCAGTTTTGACATCTAACTAAGAGCAACCCCGCTGCTGCAACAATGCTAAGAACTGAGCGAATGGTAATCAGTTTCATAACCGGGGAAAAAATGTTTGTGTAGTCAATGCCTTACTTTTGCTGAAAGCCTTTGACCACCAATCTCGCCTTATATCTTTTGGAACCATCATGTTCCTCTTTTACCTTATACATTCATTTGTTGTAAAGAACATTTTTCCCTATGGGCAACATGGCTAGTTCCCATGTTTTATTGGAGATAAGGGACTTCATATCACCTTCCATTACATGCTCCCACTTGCTAGCATCTTTAACCTGACATGCTTCATCATAGCATTCAGGCTCACCATCATCTGTGAGCAACATATAATCCAAATATTTTCGATTTGGTACATGAGGACGCGTGGACCTTTTAGGTGCAGGCTTAGGAGTTGGAATTCGCGGTGAACTACGCTCTGTGAGTTCTAGCCAAGAACCCTCATTTGTCTGCTCCACGTCAATGCTCTCTAGATCATCATCCAACTTAACAGACTCAGGCTTACTCTGTACAGGACTAGTTGACTGTGCTGCATCACTATCCTTGTATATCATCTTCTCATTAAAAATCACATCTCTACTTCTGATGATTTTCTTGTTCTGATTATCCTAGAGTTGATAACCAAACTCATCTCCGCCATACCCAACGAAGATGCATTTTAGTGACTTGGGGTCGAGCTTTCCCCTAGCATAGTCACTAATATATGTATATACAATACAACCAAAAACTTTTAACCATGAAAGATTTACCTCTTTTCCACTCCATACCTCTTCCGGTATTCGATGCTCTAAGGCACCGATGGTCCATGATTAATTAGTTAGTATATTATATTGACTGCTTCTGCCCAAAACTATTTCTGTAGACTCGAATGTATGCGCACGTTTCTGGCTCTCTCTGTCAATGTTCGATTTTTCCATTCTACCACCCCATTCTACCATGGGGTTCCTTGTATAGTCCTCTCTAATCTGATCCCATTATCAAAATAGAACTTTTTAAATCCAGTGTCTTCATATTCACCACCATTATCTGACCTCAACCTCTTGATATTCAAACCTGTCTTATTCTCCACTATGGCCTTCCACTTCTTGAACACATCCAATATCTAAGATTTATGCTTCAAAAAATAAACCCATATCTTCCTCGTGTGGTCATCAATAAAAGTCACGAAATAGGATTTTTCGCCAATGGATGAAACAGTGACTGGCCCCCAAACATCTGTGTGAACTAGCTCAACTTTCTCCTTTCTGAGATCTCTGTCACTCTTCTTGAAACTGACCCTCTTCTACTTGCCCATCACACAACTCTCACAGATGTCAATATCAATTGCCCGTATGCCTGGTAGTTTCTTCTTTGAGTGCATAATCTTAAACCCTTTTTCACTCATGTGACTTAGTCTCTGGTGCCAAAGATTATGATTTTCTCTATTTTCTGCAACTGCTATAAACCAACAAGTACTAGTAGTTGTGTAGAGAGTGCCAGATTTCCTACCACGTGCAATGGTCATAGTACCTCTGGAAACTTTCCACGAGTCTCCATTGAAGGTTGTAATAAAACCTTCCTTTGACAATTGTTCCACCTAAATCAGATTTTTCCTCAAGTCAGGGATGTGTCTCACATCCTTCAACTTCCAAACTGGTCCATTCAACTTGATTTGCACTTCACCATTGCCAACGACGCTACAAGGCAAATCATCACCAAGATACACCTTGCCAAGGTTACCTGGTTCATAGCTATTAAATAACTCTTTGCTTGAGGTACCTTGAAATGATAAGTTGGAATCTAAAACCCATGACTCCGCCTTGTTCTTCAAAGAGCATAGCAATACATCAACTGATTTTTCTGAGAGAATGTTTGCTTCTGTTTTTCTTTCGGTTCCCTTCTTTGGAAATCTGCAATCAACACGGTAATGTCCCTTCTTTCCACAATTCCAACACTCAACATCATTGAGATCTGTGTAATTCCTGAAATTTTGAGACTGTGTCCTTCCATTCCTTGACTTGGATCTGCCTCTATTTCTATTATCATTACTTTTCTTCTTGTTTGAACCCCTGCCTCTACTTTCAACATTCAATGCTGAACCACTTGTGGAAACCCCCCTATTTGCTTTCTGATTTGTTCAATCAGAATCATACTCACAACTTCATCAAACTTCAACTTAGTCTTCCCTACAGAGCTACT